GTAAAGAAGGCAAAGACAAAGAAACCTTCTAGCTATCACAATCTGTTAACCAGACAGTCAAAATCTCCCTTCAATGAAAGTTCAGAAATAAGTTCAATTTCAATCTTTCTTTAAATGATTAATATGAACTATTAAGAAATGCTTCATGATTATAATATTTGTGACACAAGCATGAGGACCTGGGATCTGATCCCCAACCCATGTTAATGCCACTTGGCACAATCACTCTATTTCCCAGTTCAGAAATTGTGAACAAAAGACTGTTGAGGTCAGTCCTATCAGGAGCTCTGGGACTGAGAATTGGAAGACCATACCTCAGTGAGTAAGGTAGACTAATGGCACAGGATAATTCTAGATATTATGTGAATCTGGAATCCTAAAAGGGCTTTATGAAGTGGTAAATTAGGATAAAATATTCAAAAACTTAAGCACAATAATAAGATGACAGAGCCTTTTCTATAATTATTTATATCCTAGTTTAATATATAATATACATATGTTGTCATTAGGTTTAACTCTCACATAGGGTTTCTAAGTCAATAGGAACAGCTCATCAGAATATCCATATCTTGGTTTATAAGAAGTGAATTAAATACTCCACAAAACTCCAGAAGTGACCAACAAGCTGCTCAAAGAAGAAGCAGGCAATTTTTCAAAATAGCCCCATTGGACTACTCCCTCCCATTGGAGGGAGCCCAGTTCTTAAGAAACTGCAACCAAATCTCTCTCCCAGGAATAATGCAGGATACTATCCAAGAACTTCTTTAAAATCAAAGCCCCATTTTCCATTGGTTAAGAAAATAATACCCATAAACCAAACCCATGGTGTGAGCATTCCACAAGAGCCAACCTGAACTAAACACAGTGGATGAAGAAAAGTCCAAAAAGACTTGGATACAGACATCCATGTGTAGGAGGAAAATATCCAGGTGTTGAGGTGAACACAGGGATGACATCATCAGAACTCAAACATTTAAAACCAGACAGGTAAAGAAAAAACAGGAAGCTCAATCTGAAATGAGGAGATGGCCAGCTGGCAACTGCCAAGTCCAAGAAAACACCTGAGTGCTGTCCTTTTCTGATTCATCAGCAGAAAGTAAACCCTACAGGCTATCTGTCCAGTTTCCACTGAAAACTGAATAGCAAGCCATGTGGTCAAACTGGTTTGAATGGAAACTGAAGAGCAGCACACATAGTTAAGTTCCTAAACAACTCAAACAGAGGATAAAACATCTCTGAAGGTAAGAAACGGGAGAAATCTGACTTTGATCTAATTGGTCTATAAGTCTTTATACAATGAGGCTGTGTTTATCTTTTACAACATCGAAGAACAATTTGGAATTTTTTCCCCTTACAAATGGTCATAAGCAATGTGGTATACAAGTAAAGGAATCTCACTATAAAAATTAAGGTCCATATGGCCTGCAGTTTCAAGACACACAAAGTCCCAGAGCTGAGAGGGAGAAGTGGGCAGAGGTCCCCACCCCTAACCCAGAAGCTGTCTCCATTTGACATCTACTTGCAAAAGTAAAATTAGTTTCTCCAATGGAGTCTCACTGGGTATAAAAACTACACTCAAAGGCAGACCCCATAACCAGAAGTAGACATCCAACACACAAAAAGCTAAGTACTATTTTTTATAGATTTTTGCCTTACATAGCTTTGTTTGGGCACATATTATCTCAATCTTTTGCTTGTATATCAGGATTTTCAGTTTATTGTTGTTGTGTGTGTCCTGTGCATTTTCTTTATTTCTTAAATTATGTTTTGTTATTGTTTGTCTGTTTGTTTATTTTTTAAAGAAAGTATGGGAAGTTAGGTAGGAGTTGGTAAAGGGGGAATAATGATCAGAAAATATTATAAGAAAACAGTTAACCTAGGTATTGTGGCACATACCTTTAAACCCAGCACTCAGGAGGGAGAGGCAGGTCTATTTCTGTGTGTTCAAGGCTAGCTTACTCTGTAGTGAGTTTCAGAACAGCCAAGCTTTTGAAGAGTGACTCTGTCTCATAAATAAATAAGTAATAAATAAATAAACAAACAAATAAATAAAATAAGGTTAAGCTGACATGATGATCCAAAATATGAAGCACTCCTGGTGATTTACAAGTAAGGTTAATCAGGATTTCAGCAATTTAGCTTTGTAAGGCATCTATTAAATCACATGTATTCCTATTAAAAACTACTTGTAAATGTGGTTAATGTCATTGGGAAAGAGAACTTCATTGAATGAGGCTAGGAAAGTGGCCAATACTTTTGCCGATTTCCTCTGAAATGCTGCTTTCAAAAAGGAAAAAAAATAATATGATAGCATGAAACCATGTACAATAGTAAGTTTCAAAAATATAAAATAAACCCTGTATACTAATGTAAATATTCTTGTTGTATTGATGAATGCAGCATTAGTACATTACTGTGGCTGGAATCAAAATTTTCTATGCAAGAATCCCCCAAAGGATAACATATAAATTTAATGAAATATCTAAACAGAAATGTTATTGATAGTGATATGTCATGTTGTTATTTACATAACACTACAGATTCTATAGTAAACAACCTCTGTCATAATTTTGACATTATTTATACAACCCAAGAAAACATTGTTAAAAATTAAAGTAAAATATGAAATGAAATGTTTTGGTTGATGTTTAAATGTATTAATCATATGCAAGTGTCAGCTTGAATAGAAACATAAAACCACTTTGATAATTGCCTTGTAATAAGTTCTATTAAAATATGTGGTGACCAGGAAACTTGTTTCTGGGGATCTGAAATGTACATGAAAGTTTCGATCCTGCCTGGTCCTGCAGCCGTTCACTCCCAAATAATCACAAAAAGGCTTATAATAATTGTAAACTGTTTGTCTTATTGCTCAGCCTTATTACTAGCTAGCTTTTACAACATAAAATTTCCCATAATTCTTATCTATGTTAAGTCACATGGCTTGGTACCCTTTTTCAGTAAGTCATTCTCAACTTGCTTCCTCTGAGTCTGGCTGGCAAGTCTTGGGGAGTCTCTCTCTGCCTTCCTCTTCCCAGAATTCTCTTAGTCTGGCAGCACCATCTATATTTCCTGCCTGGCTACTGGCCAATCAACATTTTATTAAACCAATACAAGTGACAAATCTTTACAGTGTACAAGAGCATTATCCCATATCACTGATATTTAAGAAATATACCTAGATGTTCATTTTGAAGAAATGGTTGCACAAAGGTAGAAAATGAGGGTGGGTAATTGTATCATAAGACTTTGGAATACAAATATAATAGATATGTTGTGATATTATCTTGGTTTCACACATATTTTTTCTTTTACATTTATTTTTTAATTGTGTGTGTGTGTGTGTGTGTGTGTGTGTGTGTGTTTGTGTGCCCATGTGTGTGCATGCTCATGCACATGTATGTTGGCATGTATATGACACAGTAGAGGGAAGGTCAGAATACAAATTAGAGGTGTTGATTCTCTCTCCTTCCATCCTAGAGCTTCCAAGGATCATCCTCATGTTATCAGCCTTGGTGGCATCTCTTTTGCCCCTTGAACTAATTTTGCTTTTAAATTAAGAAAATAAATGGGGGAATAATAGTTTGGTTTGAATAGGAATGGGCCTCTTAGACTCATATACTTGAACATTTGGTATCCAGTAGGTGAACTGTTTAGGAAAAAAATCTGAGGTATGGCCATGTTGGGGGGAGGTGTGGTCTTGTTGGAGGAGACGTGGCACTCGGAGTGGATTTTGAGGTTTCAGAAACCCATGCTATCCTCAGTCCACTCTTTTTCTCCCTCCTGCCTAAAGGTCAGAATGTAGACTCTCAGCTACTGCCCTATTGCCATGCCTATCTTCTTGAGACCATTCTTCCTACCAGATGATCATGAACTAACACTCTGAAACCATAAGCAAACCCCTAATTAAATGATTTGTTTTCTAATCTGTCTTGATCATGACGTCTTCACAGTAACAAACAGAATAGTAACTAAGACAGTTTGTAAATAGCTTTGCCAAGTAAGCACAAAACCTGAATTCTGCCATCAGTACACATATGAAAATCCAGGTGAGGCAACATATGTATGTATTCACCCTGGTTGACAGGCAGAGGCAGGAAAGTCTTTAGGGTTTGCTGGACAGCCAGTGGAGCCTACTAAGCAAGCTCTCGGTTTAATGAGATACCTTGTCTCAAAACTACATAGAGGAATGATTTAAGAATATCCAGGATATCAATCATTGTCCACTATATGCACACCTGTGCAGTTAATACACATAAGTGTACACACATACACACACATACACACACACTTTACAATCAAAACATGCAACCACAAATATACAAAATATAAAGAATGTAAAATAAAATAAAGTAATGAAATATTAAATATAATAGAAATAGCAATAAGGAATAAATGACTGAAACAAAACTGAGTATTGTAATAGTTGGAGTATCCAGATTTCTAAAATGCCGCATTATAAACAGAATTAATGGTAATGTGAAACAATACCAAAGAGAAGGTGTTAAGTAACAAATCTGACAATTTACTTCACAAAAATTATGCAAAATCTACCTGCTTGTTGTTTTGGAAATGATTTGTGAACCCAGTATTTCCAAGAAAAAAATGCTGTTCCTTGTGTCTCATTCATATTAATGATGAGGAAGAACATGCAGAGCTCTGGGCTTTGCCATCATTATAAATTCTGCTCCAGGAAGATAATGAAGCATTTCTGGCAATGAGATCCGTGGTCATTTCATTTTTGTGTGTTCTCAGAGTCACTTGGCCTGTAGATTGGAGCTTATTAGACCTTGCTTGAGTGATTGTTACAAGAGTACTATTCTCTTGGGTCATGTCTATGGATCTCTATTCTACTCAATTATTCTGTATTATTTGAGCCACAGCTGACCTCAAATATCTCATTATTTTAAATGAAAACAAAAAGCCGATTAAAAATTTTAGCTAATATTTTATTTTAAAGTTATACTTCACATAACAAGGCACACTGTGTGTATAAATTCTTTTACAATGAAGATAAACAATGTGTATAATGTGACCAACCATATGAGAGAACACATCCAAATAAACATTAAATCATTGTACTAAATGTTATTCATTATAACTAATTTTACTTTTATTACTATTTCAAATTTTAAGATTTTGATGCATCTTACAGTATTTTCTTTCTCTAGAATAACTATTCCCACAAAGCAGACATAAATGAAGGCAATATTAAGTCTTAATATTTTATATTTTATTCCTTAACAAAACAATATGCAAAATCAAGTGATAACATTGTACGTTACATTACTACTAATGCTCACCACTAAAGTCATTGGAAAGGACAGTTAGATAATCAGTAGGACTATCTTTATAGAAAAATATGTGGATTGTGAAATTAAAGAGAAAATAATAATCATCTCCAAATTATATAGAACATAAACAAGATACATAGGTTATTAAAAAATAACATCATATGACATGAAATCTGTTGTTTTCTGTAAAGACACTATGTGACTAACAACTGTATCAGTCTATTGTACTGTGAAAATGTAATGATTCAAGATGAATTGTACACTGTTCACATGTCAAACTTTGCCATTTAGCAAGTGATAATTATATAATGATGTTTTTCTTTTTATTCCTAATCTGATAACTGACTAGGAACAGGGGCTCACTGGCCATACCTAAAATCATGAGAGATTATATCACATAAAGACATCTCAGGGTTTGGGAACATTTCAAAAACTGCTTTCATTACATTTTCAGAACAACTAATGTAAGCAGAGATATAATAACTAGGGACTTGTCCATACAAATTGTTATTTTGGGTAAGGGAGAGTGTGGGGAAAGGAGGGTGGAAACAGAAGGGTGGGAAAGAAAGAGAAGCAGGTTTTTAGAATATGAAAATTTAATACAGTATTTTAAAGAAAAGCCCTGAGAAGATACCAAAAACCTACAGATTAAGCAGGTTGTATCTATATATTTATGGTTGTGTATGTAACAACGAGCAATGTAAAAAGATTTGACAGAGTGCAAGGAGGTCCAGGAGGGCTTGAAGAAAAGAAACAGAAAATGGAAAATATATAATGATATTATAGTCTCAAATATTTAAATTAAAAATTCAATGACGTATACAAGAAGTATTATAGAATTTTGGTCACAGACAAAGCAGAACCCAGGGGTCTGTTGCAATGATATAGAAAATCACATCTGAGCTCAGCTCCTCTGGGAGCTCCTTCACTGTAAACCAGAAGGGATACTGTAACAATTTTTACTAAGCAGAGACACAAGACAGCTTATAACAGAACATAGGATTTTGGGGATCCTGTTTTAGGTCCTCCTGTAACTAAATCCAGTGGAAGCACATTGTGGGGAGTACAAGCCAAACCATCACAACCAAGAGACATAAAATGGAGGAAGATTCTTTTCCAGTAGCAGGCAAGGAGAATGTGGGAAGTATTTTTACAGTGCCCTCTTTGAACCAAGGAAGCCTGGACACTCATTCTCTCAGCCTATTCATCTCATGCAGAGCATGTACACTTTTAGCTGAAAATAAAGGAAAGGATACTTTGAAGGTTCAATAAAAAAGAAAAAAGTCTTTCTGACAGCTTCCTATCTAGCTTAGTCACAACACAAAGGCCACCTCTAAACTTCAGGAATCTCTCCTTTGTAGAAGAAAATGAACAAAAATAAAAAGGGAAACTTCTGCATTTTAACTATTCAGCCATAAGTCACAACTTGATCCCATTGGCAGATGGTGTCTCATATAAATATTTGAAATAAAACTCCATGGCGTCCTAGCAAATAGATGGTCACAACACACAAGCATGCACACCAAGCCTACTCCTTTCCAGGCCAGCAAATCTCCACCTGTATCCAGACATGGACCCCACACAAATGTCCCATAATATTAGATCATCTGATTTTCTCTCAGCTTCTGGAAAGCATTCTCACTTACTCTTACTCATGGTGTCGACTCTCTGAGCTAACCTTCTGTTTGTTGTCTTGCCAAGTATTTAAGTAAATCTTCTCCTTGTCATTTTGTGCTTTTCATAAATTCATTTGCTGCTTTTGTCTCTAGTTTTGCCTGTGCCATGTGAAATGCCATACTGGAATATTTCTTGATCCTCAATATGAGTAGGCAAGAGAATTCTGAAGGAAATAGGAACATTTTTGGATGTGCCTTGAATGGTTTTTAGCTGTTATGGGGCACTTGAACTCTTAAACTTACAGGGTAGGTCTGTAAACACTTTTGTAAACTTCCAGAGAGCAAATAGATTTTGATATATAAAAAGTTTTCTGAGATGACACTGCCTCTATTTCTATAACCATTTCACTTGGATTATTTGAGTTGACCTATGAATGTATCCCTAAATGTGTTTATTGAAACCGAATAGCTGCCTCACAACAATTAAGTACATGTTATTTAAAGGGGAAAAACAAATAATAAAGTTTGAATTGAGAAAAAAAGAAAATTAGCAAAAAAAATTCATTAAAGAGAAATGTATTTACTAAGGTTTGTTCAAACTCTATCCTTACTGCAACACTGTTACAATCTCATAGAAAAAAACGACACAAAAGCCTGTGTGTTTTTCTGTGTGCTATTAATTTAACTATGAATGTGTTATTAGAACTAGGTAAGATCTCTTTCTGGAAGGTTTAATTACTCCTGTGACTTCGTGAGGGCATTATCAGCCTTCTAATGACCTCCCTGGAAGATAAGAATCGTATAGATGTTTTAATTCTTTTAGGTTTGTTATCTTAATAATCTGGTACAGGCAAAGGAGTGGTGTTTCTTTAGTTACCTTTCTCCTGCATAAGATTATGGTTACAACTATGACTAACTTCTGAAGGCAGAAATGAGCTAATATTGAATTCAAATTTTCAGGGTCCTATGTTTTATATTCTATCCAAAGGGTGCATGGTTTCCCCTCCAGGCATCTCAGTTTCTTTGGGGGCAAGGCAATCTTTATTTTCATAGCAAAGCTTTATTTTGAACAACACAGACATCAAAAGAGCTTTCCCAGATTCCAACACTGCTGCCCCATGTTTTCTCATACAATAGAAAGAAATAGCACACAATCCTTGTGAAGTGTTCATCTAAAAGGTAAGCTTGTGGAAAAGGCAGATAATCACACAGGATTACAGAGAGGTTCTCAGAGTATCAACAGTGACCACAGAAAGGGCATTCAAAACAAGAACTGCTTTTAAAAGAGTGGGAAAAATGACAATGAAAAAAAAACAAGTGCATTAAAAAAAGAAAAATATCATCTTCCAAAATCTAAGTATCAAAGACTGACCTCCCAAAACGAAAAAAAAATAGCAAGAGCCTATATCACATGGTACCCCTTGCCATTACATGTTATCCAAATTTTATAAGACCTTATAGCATGTGCTGATGAAAATATGTATTCTGAGAATTCAATTGGCACATGAAAAACAGATTCAGAGATGACAGAGCTATTGTAATCATCTAACTGAGAAGACAGAATAACAAAGTTAATATAAGAATATCATGTGTGCAAGAACAGATGGGCTTTGTAGGTGAGAAGGGTGTGGTAGAATGTTATTTATGTTGCACTTGTTTAACTCTGGGAAGCCATGCTATTTTGTCTGTCTAAAACCCCGTTACTCCTAATAAAGACCTGAATGGTTAACAGCAAGGTGGTAGCAAGGATAGGTGTGGATGGCAGGCAGAGAGTATAAATAAATAGAAGAAATGAAGAAAACAGCAAGACAGAAAAAGGAGAGTAGGATGTGAGGAGACACCTACCCAGCCAGCCAGCCAGCCAGCCACAGAGTAAAAAGGAAAGTAAAGTATACAGAAGAAAGATAAAAGCCCAGAGAAAAAGGGTGGATGGGTTAAATATCTGGCTAGAAAGAAGCCAAGATAAAGGCAGGCATTCATAAGTAATAACCAGCCTCTTCGTGCGAGCGTGCATGCGTGCTTGCGTGCATGCGTGCCTGCATGCGTGCCTGCATGCGTGCGTGCGTGCGTGTGTGTGAGCTGGGTTGCACGGCCTCCAAAGGAGAAAAATCAGCTTACTACAGAAGGGAACTGAAGAAAATTTTGCCTGCTCGCTCATATCACACCAAGGAAGCAAGCCTGTAAACCTAAGTGGTCAGCTTGGAAGCTTAGATACTGGCAGAAACTACTTAAATTAAAATATAAAAATGGGCCTTATGTGCAGTTAATCAAGAAGAGTGATTATATTGAACTTCTTTTGGAAAGTCTTGCAATGAGAAAACAGTTGAAGGGAACAAAATATTCGGTGTTTACAGACAGAGAACAAACAAACAAAAAAGTTTTAAAGCCTGTTCACAGTTGTAAATCCACAAAATTAAAATTTGATGTGCAAAATTATTTTTGAAAATTAATATGCCATAGACTCTATCAGTTAACAAGCACCAAAAATTAAATGCTAGCTTATACTTTGTAATTTTCTTTTTTAAGTGAAAATTGGTCCTTCTCTCATATGGTACATCCCAAACACTTTCCCCTTCCTCTGCTCCTCCCAGCTCCCCCCCAACTTCCCCTCTTCCACATATACAACCTCCCTGTTCTACTTCAGAAAATAGCAGACCTCCAAGAGCCAACAGACAAACAGGATAAAATATGATACAATAAGGCAAGAAAACAGCTCTTATTTCAATGTTCAGCAATACAACCTAAACAGGAGGAAAAGAGTCCCAAGTGCAGGCAAAGTGTCCTAGGCACACTGTTTTCCACCTTCCACTGATAGACTATCTGTGAAAATCAAAATATTGCTCAAAGAGATAAATATAATCACAAGTAATATTTCCTTTTCTAATTTTAGTCAATAATTATCCCAAATAATATTAGCAATATATTGGGAGATTACATCATTTTAACACTAAGTTAATGACACTAATACTAAGAGAGATGGAAAGAAGAGGGATGGTTGTTCAATATTCTCAATAGTTTTGGAACTACCTCTGATGGATGCAACTTGATCACATTTCTAAGTCTTGATTAGCAGATTAATATTGGTTAAATATTATTTTCATCATAGAAATACAGACACATAAAATTTACATGTTGAATGGTTTGTTTTCTAGTCTGTAATGGTCAAGGATGATCCCAAACAAAGAATAATAAATAACAAACGAATAAGTAAATTCAATGTACAACTGAAACAATAAAAGTTGAAAGAAAATCATAAGAAAACATCTACATATATGTAATAAATTTTTAAATTTAAGATGAAAAGTATGGTACTATCCACAACAAGAATAAATTAAAATTGAAATGATATAAATATTGGAATTTAGAATCAGAAATTGGAGGACTAGGTTAAACTATTCTAATATTTTCTATAACAAACAATACTTAAATGTGAAACCATGAGATTAAAATGATGCAGTAAGACAGATACACTATACCGTCACTCAGTAGAAAACTAGAGTAGATTTGTTAACTTAAGAGAGACTAGATTTCAGCCTGACAAAATGGTCAAGTACAAAGGGTTGTGGTACTAAAAGTGAGGGTCAGTTCTTCAAGACAACATCACAATCCTGAATGTGTACGTACCTACTATCAAAGTGTCAGCATGTGGGAGGGAAAATTGACAGTGTTACAAGAACAAATAGACAAGCCCTGTTATTACCATTGAGACTCAACAACTTCTGCCAGTAATTATAGATCAAAACAGCAGGAACTCAGTACACACAGAGTTGATCTGAATTGCCTCTTCAATATACTTTATCTAATTATTAGATAGAGGTATTCTTCAACAGTAGTTCTTCAGTAGCAAAGTATATGTATATCAAGATCCAAGCAGCATTCATCAAAAAAGGCTACATTCTGGGAGATAAAACACTCTTTCAAAATAATCAAGAGAACAGAAAACATGCGGTATAGGTTCCCAGTCCACTACGCTATTAAACTAAAAACCAGTGACATAGAAAGAACTGGAAAGTCTTCAAATTTGGAAAGTAAACCCAGTGTTTAAAACAGATGTAGAGTTTCATGAAGAAAAAAAGTATTTGCAGTCAAATTTTAAAAAATGATAATGTAAGTAATCAAATTTGGAATGCCGTGAAGGGAAAAGAATGAGTAATTTTCTGAATGTATGCGATAATCATTTAATGAAGCTATCATCACAAATAAGTTATATCATGAGAGTGGAGCTGGCTTGCCCAGAGATCTAAGAAAATGTGAAAATTACACCAGAGAAAAGGTATATTGAAGCTTCCTAGAGGGTAAACTCTTGCTGGTGATAAACTTGCTAACAAGGTTGAATGTCCAGAATAACCCACTTTCCAGTGGACTGGATTTAAAACCTCATCCAGAGCATAAGAGAATCATCCCTAATGTACTGCTCAGACCTAGTGGCTATACCTGGACCACAAGTCTATTCCAGAGGTAGAGATGTTAAATTTAGACCAGGTAGGAGGGGACAATCTCACTTTCTTCTCTCTGCACATAACCAACATTAAGAACTTGCTCTCCAGACAGTGGGGGCAGTGCAAGCCTTTAATCTCAGCACTGGAGGCAAAAGAAGCTGGTTTTCTTTGAGTTCAAAGTCAACTTGGTCTACTGAGATAATTCTAGGACAGCCAGGGCTCCACAGAGAAACCATGTTTCAAAAAAACAAAAGTAACAACAAAAAATAAAGAAAAATAAAAAAAACAGAAGAAAAAATAACTTGCTCCCTTAGCAGGCAGCAGAATTTCCATCCTCTCTTGGATAACTCTAGCTTGATCTAGTCCTGGGGATTTATGAGAGCCTAATGTGGTCTCCCTACAGCATAATTATCCTTTCTCAGATGTTTTCAGTCACCACTATACCTGATAGGACTCTAAGGAACAGAATGAGACCTTTAAGGTCCTTGATGCAGACATTACTGGTGACCATGTCATAGGTTACATGTCAGATGTGGGTCTAAATCAGTAGAAAAGTTCAGAAAAGTGCTTACATATCAAAGACCACGGGACATTTGAAAGGCTGGCTTTCAGAATAATAACTCGATAAATTTTTATGTGTTTACATAATGAAGAAAAAGGTATAAAGATGGACTTTTAGGAAAGTAAACAGCAAAAGGAGTATTTCTAATTTAAATTGAATGCCCTTCAAATGTATTGATGAAATAGTATGCAGTACATGATTCTTGTGTTCAATGTGTAATGCATCAGTTAAGGAATCACCTTAACCTGCTTTTTAAAACAGAAGCTAAACTTATACAGTGGAAAAAGAAAACAACTTCAACAAATGGTGCTGGCATAACTGGATGCTAACAAGTAGAAGATTGCATATAGATGCATATTTATTGTCATATTTAAATCCAAATGGATCAAAGACCTCAACAAAAATCCAGCCACACTGAACCTATTAGAAGTGAAAGTAGGAAGTACCCTTGAATGAATTGGTACAGAAGACTGCTTCCTGAACATAACAACAGTGGCACAGACACTGAGATCAAAAATTGATAAATGGGACCTCCTGAAACTGAGATGCTTCTATAAGGCAAAAGACACAGTCAACATGACAAAACAGTATACTACAGAATGCGAAAATATCTTCACCAAACCAACATCTGACATACAGCTGATCTCCAAAACATACAAAGAACTTAAGAAGTTAGTCAGCAAAATACCAAGTAATCCAATTTAAAAATGGGTTGCAGATCTAAATAGATAATTCTCAAAGGAGGATCTTTAGCCATCAGAAAAATGCAAATCAAAACAACTCTGTGATACCATCTTACACCTGTGAGAATGGCTAAAATAAAAAACATCAATGGCAGTTTATGCTGGAGAGGATGTGGAGAAAGGGAAGCATTCCTCTATTGCTGGGGGGAGTGCAAACTTGTACAGACACTTTTGAAATCAGTATGGCAGTTTCTCAGGAAAATGGGAATCAGTCTACAAGATCCAGCAATTCCACTGTTAGTCATATACCCAAAAGATGCACATTCTTATCACAAGGACATTTGTAAAACTATGTACATAGCAGCATTATTTGTAATAGCCAGATGTGGAAGCACCATAGATGTCCCTCAATTGACAAATGGATAAAGAAAATGTGGCATATTTACACAATGGACTACTACTGAGCTGAAAAAAAAATTGAAATCTCAGGCAAATGGATGGAACTAGAAGAAACCATCCTGAGTGAGGTAAACCAGACACAGAAAGACAAACATGTGTACTCACTCCTAAGTGGATATCAGACATAGAGCAAAGGATAACCAGCCTATAACCCACAACTCTAGAGAAGCTAGGAAAGAAGGGGTACTCTAAAAGAGACATACATGGACATCCTGAGAAGAGGAAAGGGACAAGATCTACTGAGTAAATTGGGAGGACAGTGCTGAGAGGGAAGTCAGAGAAAGAGAAGGGAGAAGGATATGGGGGAGGAGAACATAAGGATCAGGACAGTCGAGTTAGGGGAAGAACAGAGAAGGAGAGCAAGGAAAGAGATACCTTAATAGAGGGAGCCACTATGGACTTAACAAGAAACCTTGCACTAGGGAAATTTCCAGGAATCCACAAGGATGACCCCAACTAAGAATCTAAGTAATAGTGGAGAGGCAACATTAAATTACCTTCCCCTATATTGAGATGAATGACTTCCTTAAATGCCATCACAGAGCATTCATCCAGTAGCTGATGGAAGCAGAAGCAAAGATTCACAACTAAGCACTTACCTGAACTCCTGGAATCCAGTTGCAGGGATGTAGGAGTGATGAGCAAAGGGATCAAAACCTGGAAGGAGCAAGTAGGAGCTCAGGGACTTCCAACTGCCAGATGGGGTATCTGCATAAGAATGAACCAGGCTCCTTGAATGTGGGTGTCAGCTGGGGGACTTGGATAGTCTATGGGGCCATTGGCAGTGGAACCCGTATTTATCCCTAGTGCACAATGAGCTGTAGGAACCTATTCCCCATAGAGGGATACTCTCTCAGCCTAGATACACAGGGGAGGGCCTAGGTCCTGCCCCACATTATGACAGACTTTGATGATTTCCCCCATGGGAGGCCTCGTCCTCCCTGAGGAATGGATGGGGATGGAATGGGGAGATGGTGGGGGAATGGGAGGGAGTGGGAGCTGGGATTGGTATGAAAAATAAGATTGTTTTTAATTTAAATGAATATTATTTTTAAAATGAAGCTCATCATTTCAGATATGTATCACTTAACATGAAAACATTTAGAATAGTTGCTTCTAGGTTTTTGAAACACATAGTAAATAATTGGCATCTAACTTCTCTGTACTATATGAATATACATCATAATTTCTTACTGCTGTCTCATTATAAAACTTAATGCAGATAGATGAACTTACTTTTGTCTTTTCATTTCTGAATTTTACTCTGCTCAGCCTCCAGTCATCACCCTCTATTCACAACATCCACAGGATCAAATCCTTTAGATTACACATGGAAGTAAAATCACATAGCAGTTCATTGCCGGCACTTATCAAGTGCACTTTTGGCATATAAAAGAATGATGAATATTGTTATAAAAGATTTGTTGTATACAAGATGGAAATAGCCCCTGTAGATCTTGGGATTTTTACATTAACAATTCAATCAAAGAGCATGTTCCATTATATTCAAGAAATTAAGTTCAAGTCATTACATTAACCCCCAAACTATATTGCAGATGCTAAGTAAAAAAATTTATTTTTTAATTATGTTTTATGAATAATACAAAGTACACAATGGAGATTATATAGACTTGTAACATTTAATATATAATAATTCAGTATCTTGTTTACACAGCCACATAAGTTTATGTTTTCAACAGCTTGTGTAAATTTCCAATTATGAGAAAATGCTCTCCTATAGTACAGAAAGGAGCTCAAATTGTGTTCATGACAAATTCCTAAAATGCAGTGTTTAATGTGAATCAAACAGTTTGTTTTTTGCATCAACTTGACTTTCAAAAAGATATCTTTTATTTTCCAAATTTCTATAATATCTGAACAGCTATAAAGCATTTATCCTTAATATATAGTTAAGCTTCAAATTATGGCATACTTTCATAGGAAAGATTGAGTAAATTGAGTAAAACCACAAGAGAAATTTCTCACAGGAATGCTGGTGGTTTATGATGGCTACAGCCACAGGTAGCAGGAAAACTCTCTTAGAAAGGAAAGTACCGAAAACACTGCCATGGAACAAGGGTCTATTCCTGATACATGAGCTGGGATTTTGAAACCCATTCCATATGGTAGGATGTCTTGTTCAGCCTTGATGCTGAGGTAGGGGATGGGCTTGGTCCCACCTCAACATAATGTGCCAGGCTTTATTGACATGGGAGGCCTTATACTTTCGGGTGGGTGGATGGAGGTGGGTTGAGGGATAGTGGATAAAGAGGTAATAGGAGAGGAAGGGGGAAGTGTGGTTGGTATGTAAAATGAATAAAATTTAAATTAAATTAAAAATAGTATTATCCTATGTTTTTAAAAATGAGGAGAATTTTTCCTAAGGTTCTGCAATAAAATACACAATTTCTAAATGACATGACAATTGTTTAAATATTTTGGACTATGAATATCATTATACATAAGAATAAATTGCAAGTCTTCCTTGAAGGTGTCACAGATATTAATAATTCTAACAGAATTATTAATAAAATTCTCTATATGTATTCAAATCCCAGATAATAGCTATATGTCTTAAACTACAGAACCTTTCATAACAAAAATCTGAGACAAGGACTGCAGATATCGTTCACCCACCAAGATCCTTTGTGTTCCTCTTCCAGGTCTTCTGTAAGCAGAGAGGGTTACAGCCACCATTTAGTGGGATTGGAAACCATGCTCTATCCTCAGAGTGTGCAGATTCAGGCAGTTCATACACATACATGCAGGAAGGACACCCATGCACATACTATAAAAATAAATAAAATCTTTTTTAAAATGTTGAGACATGATTGATTATTGTACACAAGAGTACTATTAATAATTATATAATAATCAGATAATGGAATATCATATATTAATACAAACAAGTGAGTGGAAATGACTTATGTTAATATGGATGGATCTTTATAGCAAAACTAATATGCTATTTATTACAAAGTACAAAGAATACAATTTATAAATAAATTAAAAATCTAGTAAAACATGTGAACTACAAGTTTGTTTAGTATGTGTTAGGCAAACATTTCTTAAAGAATTAGAATATAACTAAATTATCTTGTGTGTTTTAATAGTCTGTATTGCAAGGGTTCTAAATGCAGCCTCAGGCATTGCTAAAGCATACCTTGATAGATCAATGCAGATAGTCAATTCTAAACACTGGAGAAAGTGGCTGAAGGCAGTGTCAGGTTCTCAGTAACCCATCTCCTTTGCTCTCATAATTTTGGGTTTGCCTCTTTCATTATTGCACATTATTTGTTGACTGTGGCCATGAACATAGGTCACAAACATAAATGATATATGCCTGTGTCTAGGGTACAATTTTTAAGGCTTAGTTCGGCTGGCTCTATCTCCTAGGTGAATATGGATGAACAAGTGTCTCTGTAATAGAATACAGAGTTTTGAGATTTATGTCCAGGTTGGTATAGCTGAGTCACGTGGTAGTTCAATTTTATTGCCTTTGGATAAACATCCATAGCAATTTCAATAGTGGATATACTGATGTACATTCCAAACAACATTGAATATAGATTCCTTTCTCCAATATACTTATCAACATTCATTTTTCATTGGATTTCTGGATGACATGCATAATGAGCAAGCTGAGATGGAATCTCAAAGTAATTTTTATGTGCACCTGTCTGATGGCTAAGGATGCTAAACACCTTTTACAAATGTTTATTAACCATAACTATTTTTTCTTTTGAGAATTTCTTCAGAAACAGAGGCGATTTTTTAATCGGTGTTACAGTTTCACTTTGTTGGTGTGATAAAACACTCAAACCAAAAGAAATTGAGGGAAATCACAGATGATTTCATTTTAGACTTCCTGGTCTCATTCCATCTTTGGGGGGAAGTCAAGATAGTAATTCAAGCAGAAACTTGAAACAGCAGCCACAGAGACATGCTGCTTGCTACTTGTCTTACTGTGTCCTCCTTATAGAGCTATTTTATGTATTCCAATCATTTCTGACTAGAGATGATACCACCAGCACTGGAATGTGCCCTCCAGCATCCATTAAGGAACAAGGCAATACACTCCAGATTTGTCTAAAGGCCAATCTGATAAAGGCAATGCCTCAACTAAAGCTTTACTCTCAAATGAGAGTAGGCTGTGTCAAGTTGGCATTAAATGATATCTAGAGCAACAGAATTGATTCTTTTCTTGGTGTTGAGTTTGTTTTGATTCTTGGGTATCTAGAGACTAATTCTTTTCCAGATGTATAGCTGTGGTGATTTGAATGAAAAAGACCCCCATAGGGTTATATATTTCAATACTTAAACCTGAGTTGATGAAACTACTTGAGAAGATGTGGTCTTTTGGAGATGTGTCACTGGAGATGGGGGTTGAACTTTCAAAAGCCTTGCTTTTCTCTTTTAGCTCTCTCACTGCCATATGCTTGTGGATCAGGATGTGAGCTGTCAGCTAATGCCTGTACACCATGCCTGTCTTGCCATCGTGTACAGCCATGCTTGCCACCATGATGGTCAAGGACTCTAAACCTTTTGCACCATGAGTCCAAAATTAAATGCTTTCTTTATAAGTTGCCTTTGTCATAGTCTGATCATAATAAAAGAAAAGTAACTAAAACAATAGCCAAAATGAATTCACTCTTGTTCTTTACACTAACTCCTTACTCAGTTAACCATTGCTTTTACTCAAACAAAATACTTTAATTCCATGAAATCCCATTTTCAACTTGCTGGCCTTAATCTTTGAGTGGCTATAGTCCTTTTTAGAAATTTCTTACCTAAGGACACTGTCAATAACACAAAGAGGCAGCCTACAGAATGAGAAAATATTTTGTCAGTGACATATTTGATGGAGGGCTAATATTGAAAATATAGAAAGAACTCAAGAAACTGGCCATTAAAGAAACAAATAATCCAATTAAAAATTAGGCACAGATCTAAATAATTGGGAACAAGCTTAAGCTAAGGCCAAACATTCATAATTAATAAGAAATCTGTGACTCAGGAATACCACTCTTGAGAATATAGCCAAAAGACAAATTATCCTACCATGTGCTCAACTATGTCCACGTCAGCTTTATTCATAATAACTAGAATCTGGAAACAAGCTAGGTGTCCCTCAATTGAAGAATGGATAAATCATGTGGTAATTTACATAATGGAGAATTACTTGGCAGTTAAAAAATATGGAATCATGAAATAAGCAGGCAAACAGATACAAAAAAAAAATCATGCTGAGTAAGGTAACTCAGGTCCAGAATGACAAACATAGTTTATATTCACTTATAAGTGTATATTAACTGTTAAGAAAATGATATTCAAGCTAAAATCCACAGAGCCAGACAGGTTAGGTAAAGAGAAACCAGGATACAAACCCAGCCACAAAACCATCAATCTACAACCTTCCCTGCCAACAACTTGTGCTGGGGCAGTGGTGGCAGCGCGGAGATTATGGTAGTGGCTAGTCAATGTATGTTTAACTTGATGGCACTCCAACAGAGGAGCCATGTCTTACACTGCGTGGACCTGGAGACTGGATAGCATAACCAAACAAGACTGGCAAAAAATATCAAGGAAATGATTCCTAGTGATATTTTGTGAAACTCATAGATCAACGCCTTGTCTAGTCATTATCAGAGAGGATTCCTCCAGCAACAGATGGGAGCAGATGCAGAGGCCTACAGGCAAACATTATATGGAGAGAGTGTCTAAACTGGAGAACTCCTTTGAGTCCCCACCCTTGAGATGGGGGAAGTCTATGGAAAAAAAGAAGGAAAGTTTATAGGAGTCATGGAGGAGAGAAGACACCAGGAAAGTATGTCTTACTATCTCCATTAAGCAGGGCTTTTATTGACTCAGGAAGACTGAAACAGAAACCTCAGGGCCTGCATGGGTCTGTACTAGGTTTTCTGCGTTTATGTTACAACTGTTAGCTTGGTATTTTCACGGGATTCCTAACAGTGGGAACAATTTTATCTGACTCTTTTACTTGCTTTTGGGACTCTTTTCCTCCTATTGGGTGGCTTTTTTTCCAGACTTGATATGCAATATGAGGGCTTTTCTATTGTCTTATTGGATCTTGTTTTGTCTTGTTTGGCTGTCACCTTCTGGAGGACTTTTCCTTTCTGAACAGGAAACTGATGTGAAGTGGGTCTGGGGGAGAGAGAAGGAGGGGGTGAGCTACAAGTAATGGAGGGAGGGGAAACTGTGTTTGGGATGTACTTTATGAGATGATAATTCATTTTCAATTTAAAAATTGAGTAGGTTCTTGCCTATGCTTTACCTTCAAGGGTATTTTTTGTTTCCCTTCTAGCAGTTTCAGAGGTTGAGGTTTTGTGTTGACTTCCCTGATCTATTTGCATTTGATATTTGTGCAACTAGATAAGGATATAAGATTTCAGAGACGTAGAACATAAAGAAAAAGAATGGGGAGGAAAAGCTTGAGTTCTGGGAAATTGGAAGTTAAAAATATATACACGAACTAATGTTGTAGGTTTCAGAGAGATGAGCAATGAAAGAGACATTACCCTCTTCAAATTATTCTTTAAAGAGGAAATACTGGCCCACCTGAAGATACTAATCAAAATTCTGTATAATTCAAAAAGCAAAGTTTGTGTGTTTGTGCATGTGCATGTGCATGCACATATATTTGTACACGCCTATACACATGTATGCAGTTATACTGGATGTAGGTGCACATGTGCCCAGATGCAAATGAGGGAAGAGGTCTGTTCTTGATTATTGTTCATCAGGAGTCATACACACTGATTTTGAAAAAGTATCTCTCACTAAGAATTGGGGAGTGCTGTATTGAGCTATATTGGCTTGCCAGAGAACCTTAAGAATTTGAGGAAGGACTCACTATCCTTGGGGAGTGGGTGGAGGTGGGTGTGGGGGAAGTCAGTGGGGCCATGGGAGGATGGGAAGTGAGGGAACTGGGGGATTGATATGTAAAATAAGATTGTTTCTAAATTAAATTTTTATATGAAAAAGAAGAATTTGCCTGTCTCCACCAATCCACTTTTGGTATTACAAACACCTGAACCACAACCAGCAATGCATTATGCAGGTGCTGAGGAATCAAATCAGGACCTTGTTTTTGCACAAGAAAATCTTCACTAACTGAGCAATGAACTATCTTTCCACACTTGACAATGAAAACAAACAAACAAACAAACATAAAAAAGATATCTTTCTTATTTTATCAATTTAGCTATTCTCTAGATGCTAATTACTGAATCAGATATCAAACACTGTACTTGTTTGGATCCATATATACAAATGTAATTACAGCTTCCAATTGACATTTTTTTTAAAAAAGGAATTACATTGTATAATCTAAGTAGGAGTGATTCAATAACTTGATCTTGTGGAAACCAAGAGTAGAATAATAGTAAAAGAGACTGAGTAAAAAGGGAAGAATTGAGGATTGTGGAGGATTGGGATAATGAATTACATAAGAACATTGAGCCATGATGTACAATTACATGCTAAAGGAAAACAGACAGCAGTAATATGCTATTTGATTAAATATTAGAGGAAAGAAGTCTATTGCTATTATAAACCCATTTCAAATAGTGTAACGTATAAACTGAAAGTTTATCTATTGGTCATTAACATTTAAGACTTATTTGTATGAAGCAAATGGAAAAATTAAAAATAATTAAAACAGCAATATTGTTAAGGCTTCCTTAAGCAACAGTATGCTTTTGAAAGGTCTCTCTAGTCCACCCTGCTTATGAACTTCTATATTGAGGAGACTATTATCCCAAATGT